TTTGTTAGACGTGTCGGTCGACACAGAGATGGAAGGTTGTGGCACCCTGGTTGAAGTTTATCAATGATGCACTCCACAGCATAGGGCGTGATAATATTCTTCCCAATGTGCTCTATCTTGGTTCTTCTGATGCAACATTTCGATGGAATATCTGTATCTGGGAACACCCTTGACATCAGCTTGCTGTCACAGTCCATCGATAAGTAGCTGTTTTTGTGCTTCAGTTCGTGTCTGTGAAATACCGCCCCAGGTTCAACCGCGGTGATCTCGTCTTCAGCGCTAGATGACTTTGGTGCGAAGAATTTTGTTAGCACAGCAGGTTGTTTCGAAGACCGGATCTTCTGTTGGTACTTCTGCGTGGACGCATAATTTTTCACGGCATTGATACCATCAAATTTTATCGTAAATGTACTGGCGCATGTGGTACATCTTGCAGCTGTCGGGTTGTCGTCCACGGGCAAAAGCGAGCTCTTGTACTCAGGTTGCGATCTCCACACTTTACGGAACACAAGTCCTAGGCTTTTTCGACGAAGGAGGATTAACACTCATGATTTTAGAAACGCGTGGCCAATGATGCTGATCGGATCTGCCGGCTCCTTGAAGTAACTCGCCACTCTGAGGTTGGTGCTTTATGTGTTTATTTGTTCAAAACCCCTCTCCTTTACTCCATTCATTCGATTTTAATATGTTTATTAGACATCTTCCTTCTGACTGGGGGCCTCAGAGTAGGCAGGGGGATGAGGGAGTAGAGAGGGGAAAAGTTATCCTCCTTTCCGCCCCTGCTGATTGGTGCCCACTGGCCCCGACTGATGGTCTCCTGAACTGGGCCTGTAGTTCCCAATCAACAGTCCGAAAAAACTCTTTCCTCCATAGATGGCTGGTCAGGATCCAAGACGCTGCGTCGAAGCCACTTGCCAGTCACTTAGGGGCGCATATAGTTCTAAGCAGTACAAAAAAACAACACAAACGCACATTCCTCGCAGCTTCTCGATCAGGCGACTGATCTTTCTCTTGCGGCAACCTGCCACGAGAGAAAGGAAGAGAAAGCACCAGACCCACTTACTCTCGGACCGATATTTCTGCAAAACGTCCATAGGACAAGGCTTGTTGCCCCCATCCCCTCTCCTAGTCTTCTACACCCGAGAGAGAAGAAAAATAAAAAGACAAGGAATGTCTCACACTAACAAAATTCCGACCTCTGAGTACCGTCCTTTGTTACAGCAACCTTTGTTATACAGTTTGAATCGTTTGAACCCCAGCACGGTGAGCTTATTTCCAAACTGGGAACTTCGGTTCGCCAAGAATACAACCTCGGCAATAAGCATTGCACCCTATCTAAACAAAGACCCCAGAATGAACCCTTTTTCCCCAGCTTTGGCCCCTTATTGTTAACTTGGCAAGGCCGCTTGCATCCGATGTCTCGGTACGGTCACCACCGGCACAGTCATGACTCGGGGAGTCACGAAGTGACAAACATAACATACGTTTATTGCATAGCTCCAAGTTCAGAACGGACGGGACGTCCTCGCGAAGGTCCGCGCTTCTTGTTGCCTCTCGGGGGAGAGAAGTGTTCGTGGACGGCGCTTCCCGAAGACAGAAACAATCGAATGCCCCCGATGCTGCACAGGTGGCATCGTATCATGGAGCTTATCTGATTATGGCACAACAATCACAAAAGAAGGCACATCAGGAGTTTGCCACGGCTCCCCAGTTTCCAAGCAGAGATCTTGCTTTCCGAGTCTGGTTAATTCTGTGGTGACCGTCACACCTGCCGGATCTCGCTTGGTGACGCATTGCTGCGCCTTGCCCGCCCCTGATGTCAGCAGCCATAGAGATGTTTTAGAGCGCAGCTCTTAGGCGCCCGTTTCCGGAAAAATTTCCCCGCTAAATCTAGCGGGAAAATTTCCCCGCCAAATGTAGCGGAAAAATTTCCCCTCTAAATTTAGCGGAAAAATTTCCCCGCTAAATCTAGCGGAAAAATTTTCCCGCTAAATGTAGCGGAAAAATTTCCCCGCTAAATCTAGCGAAAAAATTCCCCGCTAAATCTAGCGAAAAAATTTACGCTAAATGTAGTGAAAAACTTTCCCTGCTAAATCTAGCGAAAAAATTCCCCGCTAAATTTAGCGGAAATATTTCCCTGCTAGATCTAGCGAAAAATTTCCCCGCTAAATGTAGCGGAAAAATTTCCCTGCTAAATCTAGCGAAAAATTCCCCGCTAAATTTAGCGGAAAATTTAGCGAAAAATTTCCCCGCTAAATGTAGCGGAAAAATTTCCCCGCTAAATTTAGCGGAAAAATTTCCCTGCTAAATCTAGCGAAAAAATTCCCCGCTAAATTTAGCGGAAAAATTTCCCCGCTAAATGTAGTGGAAAGATTCCCCGCTAGATTTAGCGGAAAAATTTCCCTGCTAAATTTAGCGAAAAATTTCCCCGCTAAATGTAGCGGAAAGATTTCCCCGCTAAATGTAGCGGAAAGATTTCCCTGCTAAATTTAGCGGAAAAATTTCCCCGCCAAATTTTGCGGAAAAATTTACCCGCTAAATGTAGCGGAAAAATTTAGCTGCTAAATCTAGCAAAAAAACTTCCCCACTCAATTTAGCGGAAAAATTTTTCCAGCGGAAAAATTTCCCTGCTAAATATAGCAGAAAATTTTTCCAGCGGAAAAATTTCCCCGCTAAATCTAGCGGAAAAATTTCCCCGCTAAATCTAGTCGAAAAATTTCCCCGCTATATCTAGCAGAAAAATTTCCCCGCTAAATCTAGCGGAAACATTTCCCTGCTATATCTAGCGGAAAAATTTCCACGCTAAATCTAGCGGAAAAATTTCCTTGCTAAATCTAGCAGAAAAATTTTCCCGCTAGATCTAGCGGAAAAATTTCCCCGCTAAATCTAGAGGAAAAATTTCCCCGCTGAATCTAGTCGAAAAATTTCCCCGCTATATCTAGCAGAAAAATTTCCCCGCTAAATCTAGCGGAAACATTTCCCCGCTATATCTAGCGGAAAAATTTCCACGCTAAATCTAGCGGAAAAATTTCCTTGCTAAATCTAGCAGAAAAATTTTCCCGCTAGATCTAGCGGAAAAATTTCCCCGCTAAATCTAGCGGAAAAATTTCCCCGCTAAATCTAGTCGAAAAATTTCCCCGCTATATCTAGCAGAAAAATTTCCCCGCTAAATCTAGCGGAAACATTTCCCCGCTATATCTAGCGGAAAAATTTCCACGCTAAATCTAGCGGAAAAATTTCCTTGCTAAATCTAGCAGAAAAATTTTCCCGCTAGATCTAGCGGAAAAATTTCCCCGCTAAATCTAGCGGAAAAATTTCCCCGCTAAATCTAGTCGAAAAATTTCCCCGCTATATCTAGCAGAAAAATTTCCCCGCTAAATCTAGCGGAAACATTTCCCCGCTATATCTAGCGGAAAAATTTCCACGCTAAATCTAGCGGAACAATTTCCTTGCTAAATCTAGCAGAAAAATTTTCCCGCTAGATCTAGCGGAAAAATTTCCCCCGCTAAATCTAGTGGAAAAATTTTCCCGCTAAATCTAGTGGAAAAATTTCCCCGCTAGATTTAGAGGGAAAATTTCCCCGCGAAATCTAACGGAAAAATTTCTCTGAGGGTCACGTGACCTGGGGAGTCGCGTGACCCCCCCCTCCCCTTCCCCCGAGGTCATGTGACCCCACCAAGGACATGTGACCCCCCCCCCCCCCCCCCCCTCAAGAACACGTGACCCTGTACCCTTCCCTCCTCAGGAGCTGCGCTCTAATTCGGCGTTACAGGGAGTTGTAAACGGCTTTCACTTTTTAGATGTTTTCTCAGCAGCCGTCGTTTTCGAGATAATCCTGCAGTGAGCTTTGCATGCTGCAGGATCTTGCTTGGTAACGCATTCTCCCGCACCCCGCCCTGACGTCAGCACTCAAAAAGTTCCGCCAAAACCGGCAAAAAGCAAATCATAACCCCCCCCCCCCCCCAACCAAGAAACAAAATTAATTTATGAAAAAAAAAAAAAAATGATGAGCCATTCCACTTTGTGAAGATGGATGACCAGCAAAGCTGTTTAGCACACAACACAGACCCTCCCAGAGGAGTCGGAGGAAACTAGACACGCGCGACGGGACCGCCACCCCGGGAGAGTGGAAGGAAAGGAATCTATACTCCGCGACAACTTTTCTTGGTATTTTCGGGAGAGTATGAGAGCCCGCGCACAGCTTTATTCAGTACTCAAAATGAAAGAGGGAACTCGTGCCTGTACCTTTTAGCGCATTGCCAAGAAAAGTTGCGGAGTATAGACATGCAAGCGCTTGGAACGGCGACAAAGAGAGGGCGGTGCTAGCGTAGACATGGCCGACACAGGTTGCACAGCGGTAAATCTTTGAGAAACCTTTATTATCTACCCGAGAGTCTACTGATCTTGAAAATGTGCCTATTGATAACTAATCTACTGAATTGACCTATTGCTAAATTACCCAAGCATCAAGGAGAATGCAGGGAATGGTGTTGCACGTGCCGGCGTCTGCAGCAGTAACTGTTCTAATGCAGAAGTCTAAAACAAATGGCATCTTGCGCGTGCGTTCGTCAACGCTTTATTTTGATTATTTACTTCGAATCTTTTACACGGGGAAGGCGTGCGCGTGTGGTGCCGGCGTCTGCAGCAGTAACAGTTATAAAGCAAAAGCCTAAAGCAAATGGCATCTTGCATGTGCGTGCGTTAATTGTTTTATTTTGGTTATTTACTTTCGATCCTTTATATTGGGAGGTCGTGCACGTGTGGCAGTGCAAGCGTAGAGTTTTTAGTCACTGCACACAAAAAATCCACGGAACACGTGTGGCAGTGCGAGCGTAGAGTTTCTAGTCAGTAGTGAGTAGTCATTATCAGTAGTGGAATAGCATAGCTAATTTTAGTTTATTGGGGCCGAGCTAAATAGCAGTGGTCTCCTAATACTGTTTATTTGTCCGAAAATGTTCAGAATGTTGACAGGCCTGGAATGTCTTCCCCCGAATGTGCAGACTGCCTACATTCCCGAGAAGGAGCACTACCACGTCACCAAGTCGCAAATGCTGGCAACGATGGACACCCTGATGGGAGGTCGGGCAGCGGAGGAGCTCATCTTTGGCTCTGAAAAGATCACTTCAGGTAGGCTTGTGCCTTTCACTTGGCAGTACTGTAGAAAAGAATGTTGCTTTTGCTGCACGGTTACGAGTATCAATTCACAGTTGAACGCTTTGGGCTTTTTTTTTGTGCGATGGGTGTTTAACTGGTACACCGCCATCTTCTTTCACAAGGTGCCTCGAGCGATCTCCGGCAAGCCACGGCCCTCGCAACCAACATGGTGAAAGAATGGGGGATGTCCGAGAAGGTGGGAGCACTTCTTGAGATTACACTTACGACAAATTTGCAACTGGAGCTAACGATTGCCTCACCTTGTCACTCAGGTTGGTGTAAGGACGTTCGAGGAAGATCGCAATTCGCTGATCGTCGTCAACGAGCTGTCTCCGAATACGTCGGAAATCATTGACACAGAAATCAAGCGGATACTTCATGTGAGCTCCTTCTGCCTCGCTTTCTTTGGTGTCGAAATAATCTTGGAGCAAGTGGTCGTAGCTTCCTTTCTCTTGAGCAAGGTTTCTCACGCTCTTTTGGTCCCTAGCACTCCCCCTTGCCACAGTGTCTTGATGCAACAGTTATAAAACTCTGCACCTCACTATTTTGGGGTAGGGGGACTGAAATAATTTTAGTGCTGGAATGCTCAAGAACAGTGTTTAAAGGGATACTACAACGAAATTTCGGCGCTCATTTTTTGGTCTATATGTGCTCAAAGGAGCAGCATCACATCGAACATACCAATATCTTGTTAAAAAAGTCACGAAAAGGAATTTTAAAACGAATTAAATGATTAGCAAAGAGCACCTGGTGGATGTCGTTAACGCCTCGCTTGTAATGCCCGTCTAGGAACCTTGACAGCTAGTGCGTTGGATGTCACATAGTCTCCGCTGGGCCTTCTCCGAGCGCTTGCCAGAGTGGGCCGTTTACAACGAAAAATACAGCCACCAGGCTCAAAATACAAACGTGAGATTGTCATTTACGGATATTGTGGATCATATTCAACCTATTTTTGAACACGACGGGAATATTTCGAATTTCGTTGAAGTATGCCTTTAAAAAGCTTTGCTTGAATGTAGGTTTGTTTTTGTGCAGGTGCTCTGTAGGGACAGGTAAAAAAAGACAAAGGATATGCGATTTCTTGACTTTGGCCACTTTGTGTTTCCCTCATACTTTTACGCTCTCTCCTTTTCTTACTACAAACCTTTGTGCTATTGAAGATGATGGGCAGCTTAGACTTGCAGAAACTAGCATTGAAGGACTGGCTTCAGTGGAGGTCGGCATGTGCAAAGTAGAGATGTTCTGACATCAAGCTTATGACTGAGGGTCGAATATGGATAATAAAAACTGACTACAAATTGAATTAGAATATTTCTGAACACAAATATTTTACATTTCATGTGAATTGAGCATGCTACTTTAATAAATCACAGCTAGAATTATTTTTCAACAAACTTACAAAATGGAATGTTTTAGTGCACAAGAAGCAAATGTCCTGATAAAACTAATTCAGTAAAACATGATGAGACATGACAAGCAAAGCAATGATTTATTTATTTGAACATAAGTTGATGTTTTTTTGGGGCACAATGCTTTAAAATTGAGTGTCGTCCGTCGGTACCAAAGAATGTTGAGTTGTGGTAGTGAGGAAAATTTTCGAGCCAATCGAGCAAGCCTAGATGTCCTGCAACGTTGGCCATTTCTCCGAGCATGCAGGTGCAAAGCAGTGAAGCTTGATGTGCTTGTGCCGGTGCGAAGTAGTGAAGCTCGACAAGAAAGTGCTGGTGCCTAGTGGTGAAGCTTGACATGATAAATCTTAATAATTTTCCGAGATTCAAAAAACTCAGATTCTTCGAACACTATAAGTGTGCTGTGTATCGAATGGCAAACATTATTTGCCAATTGTTTGAAGTTTAGAATATTTGTGCACCTCTAGTTCAGAGTATTGCCAAGTTGGCCCTACAGAGTTTCACCGTGCTTCATCTGTTTGTCACGTATACCCACAGGAATCCTATGAGCGTGCCAAAAGCATTCTGAAGACTCATCAAAAGGAGCACAAGCTGTTGGCTGAAGCACTGCTCAAGTATGAGACTTTGGATGCGGAGGATGTGAAGCAGCTTCTCAGTGGGAAAGACCTAGCCCAACTTCGCAAAAGGTATCTAATGCTCGATGCGTTGCTCACGGTTAGCAAGCGTTGGTGACAGGGCCTTGTCTGACACGTAAATGACGACAGATTTTTCAAAACCAGTGAGAGCAGAGAAGCATTTTCGCCTTTCTCTCGAGGTGAGTTTAGGGATGCCACCTCAGATGATGCAGCTTTCTAAGTAACTTTTACAGAACTAAGAAGTGAAAAAAAATGCATATAAGCCTCAATAGCAAAAAAAGAAGAAAAAAAAAAGGAAATGGAGTTCTTTAAAATGTGTGGGTATGACCATAGTTCCCACAGAGGGGGAAAGCCTGCACCTTTCCCACCAGATCCAGTGGCCAACACTGAGTGGGGGTGAATGACTGAACATGACAGAAAGAAGGGAGGGCGGTGGTGCCCTCACAAATCTGCAGGAACTTTTAAAAACTTTTCTTTTTGCACCTCAAAAAAAAAAGAAAAAGGTTTGTCCATTACCTTTTTCCATTTACAACTCACCCTCCCTTTCCCAGTTACTCAGCGCATCCTCCTATTTGCTCCTACACCCGCTGGGAGAGGAAGGTAAGACATAAAAACTAAAAGGAAATGGTTTTTTTTTGTTTTTTTCCTTTCTGCAAAATGCAAAAAGGAGAGGTGAATTTGTACAGCTGCTAGCATTCCCGAGTGGCGCTGCCCTCAAAATAGTTCCGCTTCGCCTACCGTTCTCTCTCCCTCTTTTTCTGCGACCTAGCTCGAAAGGTGCGAGCTTTCTCCCTACATAGGAGGCTATGGTCGAAACAAGCATTTCTAAGGAATGGCCCTTTGCAACCTGGCCCTTTGCAACGTTAACTCTGGCAGACATGTAGATAGGGAGGAAAGTAATTGGTGTGACTTTTTTCTTTTCACCCATTTGTGCTTCATGTCTGTGTCTGTAGGGCTTACAAGATACATTTCTTTGCTATGCAAACTGGAGTTTTGCTTTGTTTTTAAAGCTGGAGTATGTATGCGGCACCTCCACTGCTACGGCGTGGTGCACTAGACTCGCGACAGGTTTGTTATTTTATGCCAGTACAAATGATATGCAAGTTACTAAAAAGAGTTTTACTGCTCTTTGGGATTATATGACCAGAAGTATAGGCTGTGGAATTAGGAATTTCCCTAATTACTCTACACTTCTTTGAAAGTAAGGCTTTGTGGACTGTTGGGTACATTTAATACTTTGTTCTCACATACATTTTGTTCAAAGGTTGGCTAATCTGATAAACGTGGGTCATACATTGCTCAGCATCCCGTGTTAATGGCTCATACTAATTGTGCTCAAGAAACACTAAAAGTGGGCGAGGCATTTGGGACACTTTTGGGTGGGTAAAACTAGAGCTTTGAACTTTCCACACCCTGTTGTTTTGCTTGGCTTATTTATGGTTTACACATGGCTATTTCAGCTTTCATTGCATGCTTGCTGTTTAATGTCACACATTATGTGTAAAACATCCATAGAAGACAGGACCAATATTGTCTGTTATATTTTTTTTATTAGGTTCTTTCTCTTAGCTTTGTTAGTGTGTACCTATTACACGGACAAGCTTAAAAAAATGTCAACAGTTTGTAACAAAAAGGGAAAACGTGCCCCAAATGCAGTCAAGATTTCCCTCGCAACATTACTATATACATGCACCTTTAACGTGCTATTTATTAGCATAGTATATTGTAAGTATACCATGGCGTGATGCTAAGTGATAAATATCTAGCCCACCTGCCAATCATCACACCAGTCTTCTTCACAGTTGTGTCCACAGAATGCAAATGTCTCTAATGGTCAGGCTTGTTATTTATGTACATTAATAGGTCTATGTACACTAGCACCCGTGTTATCTCTTGCCTCTAGGGTATCCGTGCAAGGGTATCTCGGCCTACAATTGGTTAAGCAAGCTCTCGTGAAATTGCACGTTCATGGAAGTATTAAACAAGTTAAGACAACAGTTTCATAATGCCCGCAGGCAACTCTATTTATAATTATTACAAGTTTGGACTGGCATATACATGCAAGAGTCCCACTCCCCCCCCTTCTCAAGCCAGACGGGCTGAAACATTCCTTCAAACAAGGGGGCGATTGTCACGGCGCAGAGCCTGGCACATTGGCATACTAGATTCATCCCCGTCACCCTTCGTCCACCAACGTAGTTGAGGACGTCCACAGTTCTGTCTGTGCACAAGGAAAGGCAATATCTGTGGGGGAGTCCTCTTCTGGCTGAAGGAAGGGCCTTCGTTGAGGGTGTAGTCTTCCGGCAGTTGCGCAGCAGAGGGCGGCAGCCGTCACTTCTTGCGGTTGAGCACTTTCTCGGTGATGCTGATGAGAGCCTGCTTCTCTGGCGAGTCGGTCCACGGTGCCAAGTGGCGCACCGCCTCGCTGCAATGCTTCTGTGCCAGGAGCCTCGTGTGCTCCAGGCCATCACTCTGTCGGCCAAGGGAATACATTTAGAATTATGTAACACACTTGAACAAGTCCCTCACCTTGAGAACGGCGTCGTAGGCTCTTTCAACGTCTCCGGGCTCCGAAAAGCGCCTCATGATCATGGCGTTCAGCTCTGGGTACTGCAAGTATAAAAGAAGGATGACAGTTTTGGTTTTATAGGGAGTTTTAGAGAGCCCCTATAGGGGGTTTCATAGGGAGTCCCATAGCCTGACTGCTATAAACTGCATTGTGTTAAGTTGGAGAGAGGACGCACCTTGTCGCAAGCAAAGAGGACTGGCGCTGTAGCCAAGCCCAGTCTCAAGTCTGCGGCTGCGGGCTTGCCCAGGTCAGACTGGCTGGACACAAAGTCGAGGAGGTCGTCCACCAGCTGCAAGAATACACAAGTCTTCATGAAATGTTCCCTGTCACTGAGATTGTACATATGAATTTCCGTTCCCTCGGCACTATGTAGAGTTTCACAAAAGGCACTTGGAAACAAATATCGGGCTTACCTGAAAAGCAATGCCAACATTTCTGCCATACTGCCGTACTGGTAGGCTGCCTCTTGGACTTTTTCATCCCCTCCCCCCAGTATGGAGACCTGAAAGAAAGCATGCAATAATGCACCTGGCCATGTTGCTCACTACTCAAACTTTCCTGGAGGGTACCTGAAAATTGCGAGAGCTCCTGACTTTTAGGAGCTCTCGCACAATTTATCGCCGATACATATACGGATACATACAGATACATATACTAAGTAGGTGACAACTGGTATGAAATCTTGCCCAGAACTTTGTCATACAATTATCAGGCATTATACACATACTCCAATTCATTGGAAGAAGTGTGAAGCAGTAGCTCACCGATTTGCAGGCAAAGGCGATGAGGCTTGCAGTCTTCTTGAAGGTTTTCTGGATGTAGTGAGAGAATCGCTCTCCTTCATCTTCTTTGGAACCTAGCTGCATGAACTCCCCCTGAACTAAGTCCACCAGAACCTGGAATCATTTCATTATAGAACACCAACACTCTTGAGGAAACACTGTTGCCTGTTTGAAAGCAGGCTATCCTTTACAGAACAAAGAAATAGTCAAGCTGTATGCCCCATTGCTGCAGATGTTTGTTTGACTTTATAGGTGCGCAGAATTTACGATGTAAGTATGCTCTGACCAAAGCACTGCTATCTACTTTCGCTAGTTGGTAGTTCCTCATGCTTTCTCACATCTAAACACGGTCAATCTTTGCAGGGTGTTGAAGGAGTGAGAAATCGTTGGTGGGATCGCTTGAAGGGAGAGAAACGAGTGCGGAATGCAAGCACCAGGTAGAAATCTACTTTCCCAGTACCCCACCGGAGAAGTCCTGCTGTTTTCAAGAAAGATGTTTATGCACCCATTGTTGTAGTGTGTGAGCCTCACCCAAACATTTCTGTACCTACCGAAAATGTGTTAATAGAAGAGGGGCAATAGAGTACTTGCAAAGTAAACCTGGAGGCACTTACCTGAGATAAGAAACTGTTGACATCATTGCTTCCTATTTTGGCAAGTAATTGAGCTGTCCGTGAGAGCACAAAATCACCCGCTAATATTGCCTGAAAAATTATGTTGTTTAGGGCACCAGTTTATAGACTACACTCGGACAAAAAATGTTCTTTCTTGCCAACCTTGGAAAGTTATTTGCTCGTAAAATGTTAATAATGCAAGCTTCTTTTTGCTTTTTTTAAGGGGTTTTGTTTCAAAGATTATTTGCACAAAGGTGCCCTTTGTCAGGTATGTTGAGTTGTAAACAGATGAAGCATAAGCAATATCAAGAGTAAAGATGTATTTGTCACTACTATATGAGATGTGGTTATTTGCATGATACATACCTGCCAAGTCTGACCAATTTGTACGGTTGTACAATTGACAGAAAATTACCCCCCTCCCCACCCTTAAAGCGATACTTCAACGAAATTGGAAATATAGGTTGACTATGATCCACAATATCCTTAAATGACAATCGCACGTTTGTATTTTGAGCCTGGTGGCTGTATTTTTTGTCATAAACGGCCCACTCTGGCAAGCGCTCGGAGAAGGCCCAGCGGAGGCCACGTGACATCCAACGCAATCGTGACTTAGTTCGTCTCGATCCGAGCAAAGCTACGGCGAGGCTGACGTCGAGAGGATGGCCTCGTCGTTCCAGCCACCGAAGCGGCTGCTTTTGTACGAATTTTGAGCGACGGGTTAATCTTCTATAATCTTGTAGGGGGACAATAGCGACTTCTGGGTCACACAAAAGACATCCTTGGGAAGAGAGGAGTTCCTCCTTCCCCTCTTCTCTCGTCGTGGCCGGAGGCAAGACAGATACCATCACTACCTCTCAAGGTTCCTAGACGGGTATTACAAACGAGGCGTTAGCGACATCCACGAGGTGCTCTTTGCTAATCGTTTAATTCGTTTTAAAATTCCTTATCGTGACTTTTTGACAAGATATTGGTGTGTTCGATGCGATACTGCTCCTTTGAACAAAATAAGTGCCAAAATTTCGTTGCAGTATCTTTAACCCTTTAAGTGCCACATTTCTTTTTTTTCCAGAAGTAACCTAAAAGTGCCATATTTTTTTTTTTTTTTTGAATTTTTATTTCTCTAGTATTGTACATAAAATTTGAAAAGTTTATTACGCAAAAGTCAACAGAGGCGAAAAAAATATTTGCCCACTAAAGCAAGTCCTACCATCTATGATCAGCGCCTCAAAACTACACGGACAAGCCTAGCTCGTTCGTGGAATCCATGGCATTTTTGGCCAGAAAGCTCAGCTCGTCCAGGGCACAAAGGGTTAAACAAGCAGTTTTTGCCGTTGCCACAAATGGCTGAAATGATAGCAAGGCCCAGCTGTGTCTCGCTAGCATGAGCAGTGCAATATAAATGTAATGAAGTTGCCTGCATGTAAATTTGCTATCAATACTTCTTTTTGAAACCGCAACAACCCCCCCTCCCCCCTTAGAAATTCTCCCGGCCGATTTGGTTTCTCTGAACTTGGCAGGTATGATGATGCCACTGCAACACCTTTCACCACTTTTTAGTATACAAGTGGTATGTCCTGTTTCCAGAACTTGGTTATACCATAGTGAAAAAAAAAAAGGATAGAATGCTTTGCATAGTATCATTACTTTATCCCAAGATGCATCATCAGAACTACACAATTGCCTGCCAAAGGTATGGTTGCTGGAACAACCAAATGAAAGAGTAGATGTCGCATTTTTTGACTATTCATCTTGCTCTTATGCAGGGCTGTTCTGTTTCCTTGGCCAATCTTTTTTTATGCATTTTACAAGCCGGAGTACACTCACTCGGACTATAGTTCGTTGCAAGTCAAGAAGGTAGGGCGAGGGAAAGGAAGGCTGGGGAGGAGGATGCAGATGGAATGCTGGAGAGAGGAGGAAATTTCTCTCCTTTCCATTGTTTCATCTGCTTCCTCCCCAACCTTCCCTACCCTCGTCCTACCTTCTTGTGTTGCAACGGACTATAGTCGCGCTATTAATGCAGATATATTCTAGTGAAACAGGTCACGTAACTTGCATGCCTTATCCACACTCTGTCGGTGAGATGTTCTGAACTCCAGCTTGGACATGTATGGTGTTACAAAGAAGAGTTTGTACCTTTTTTTGTCCCCAGAGGACGTTGACACTCGGCTTTCCCCGCCTTGTGTCTGAGGTGTCGATCACGTCGTCGTGAACGAGACTGGCAGTGTGGATCATCTCGCACAGTAATGCCACCTTCTTTTGGAAATCTAAGAGTCTGCAGGGAGAAAGGGGGCACCAGTCAAGTCAAGCGAGAGGGAGGGAGAGCATGCCCCGACTTACACATTCCTATTGTGCACGTGGATGTTGACAGCTCTTGCCATCAGGGTGCAAATCATGGGACGGAAAGCCTTGCCCTGTCCATCGAAGTAGTAGCTGGCAATCTCATTCAGCTGAGGTTTGGCCACCCAAAGCTCCTGCACAACAGGGGACAAGTTTCCCTTTATTGCACTATCCAGATTATGTGAGACTTTACAATAACGCTGATGTGCAGTATTCATCAATGTACAAAGACCTACAAATAAAAGAAAGTTTATGGTAGTACACACTAGGTATCAGCTTTCTTGCTGCAGAGCCTAGGGTTTGACCATCAACCACAAACTACATGTTATTTTGAAAATAAGTTCTACAAGATGACAAAGAAGGTGGTGGGCAACATGTGCAGTTGTTTTACCAAAGTTCTCTTTTCTGTGAGAGTTGCACTGGAACAGACAGCATGCTCCATCCTGGGAGTTACAATCACAGTGATGGAAGTGCTGTGCAATTTGTACCAAATTGTGTCATGAATGAAAGTCTGCTACATCTTGCAGTGAAATGCCATTTTTGTTAAGAATAGGTATGAGTTTCTATTTCACAATGTCTAATCACCATATAGTTTGTATAGCTTGCTTCACATCAGTTCAGACCACAGTCAAAGGCTTGAACATGCATACATCCATGCACACAGATACTAAAAGCACAAGTTACAGGACATGTTTAGCCAATGAAAAAACACATACAGAAGGATGACGAATGCTATAACGTTGCATTTTTGAGGCCATTTGATTGGTCCCATTGGCTCATAGCGTGACTTAAGGTGAAACAAAGTAGGGATTGCTCGTCAAGCATTGTGCCTCGGTCATTGTCTAAATTTTCAGACTATGTTGGCAATGTAAGGAGCTAGAAGTCGCGAGAAAAACATGTCAAATAGTATGATTGTGGCTACTGGGATCAGACAAAATTAGGGTCATTTGCGCCAGATGAGATCACTTGACCATCATGTCTGTCGCATGCCTCTATGTCGGGGCTACAGTGTACCATGGCACTTGTGCCACTTGAGTCAATTTTTATTGCCTCTCGCCAGCGTGTGTGCATCAAGCTTCATTGCTTTGTATACAGAAGTGCTAGGAACAGCGGCTGACATGGGAGAATGAAAGGCTCAGAAATTATGCTCAGTCCTATTACAGGTTGACCTTGTTTGGTCTTGATTGTAGGTTGAACCAGGCACGTAGCCAGGATTTTGTTTGGGGGGTGGGGCGGGGCGGGGGCGGGGGCGGGGGCGGGGGCGGGGCGGGCGGGCGCCCATGACAAAATGCTGTATGAGGGGGAGGGGAGAGAGGAGGCCCCAGCAAAATAAAAGATTTCGGGGAGGGGGGGCAAGCCACATGCCCCCCCGCCCTGGCTACATTTTAAAAAGCTCTGCCGAAAAAGAGAAAAAAATGTGGGTCTATATTTGAATAAATACGGTAATCAAGGTAGTTCTCGTGCAGCAGTCGGTCGATTGATCGAAAGAGCAGCAAGCTCAGGTTCCAATGTCACTAAAGAGCAGTGTCACTTCTAAAGTACAAGTGTAAGATTTCATAATATTTATGGGTGGTTGTTTTTGCAGTTTATGATATTAGTCGAGTTTGATAGGTGCATAACTTTTTTTTTATGGGGGGGGGGGGGGGGGGGGGGCGGGGGGGGCATTTTTTTATTGATAGAGCAGATATGCTTTTTTGCTTGAATTTTACAAAAAAATTTTACAGGCAAAATAAACTACTGAATGTGAAAGGGGAAGGGAAAGAGAGGCTTTAGAGCACTTCGTTTCTGACCAGAGCCTCATTTCTAAAAAAAAAAAGGCTCTGTGTTCCTTTTACACCATACCTATTCTTATTACAATTTGCTTCAATATCAAAGAGGAATCCCCAGTCATTTACAAAGATGAACTTATTTAGCAATGCCATCCCTCTTCTATTTTCAAGTGATATACTAACAGGTGTTGCCATCACTGGCTGGTCCAAATCAATCTTTTGCCAAATTAAATGTTGGACTAGTTGGTTGAACATCATAAATACTGAAGTGCAAAAGATGAGACACAAGAACAAGAAGTGCATAAGACAAGTGCTCGTCGTGTGTCCTGGTTCTTGTGTCTCGTCCCTTGTGCCTCGGCATTTGCAATATTTTGCCTGCTGCAAAAGGTTAAATGCCATTTCCATCACAGCAATCAGCATGGGAAGGTGCTTTTGCAACGCAAAGGCACGAGTAGATGACTGTTTGTAACGCTACTCTCTCCCCTTTGCTAGTTAGTGCTACACACAACCCTAAGACAAGAGTATGGACACTGCTCCATGCTAGCACTGTTCTGACCCATGTGGTCCGCTCCCCGGTCACTCACTTTCTTGATGGCGTCGTACACATCGGCCAAATCCTGCTTGGAGAGCTCGAAGGGGTCGGTGCTGGCTTCGGGCAGGCTGCCCGGCTGCTGCACCAGGGGCGCCTGGGGAAGCTGGGGCGACGTCACGAAGTGCCGGTGCGGGAACGCGTGGGGCTGCCGGCAGCAGCGGCAGGGGCTGCTCGAGGCACCAATGCCACCCAGCGTGTGGTGCAGCCTCCTGTCCTGCATGGGGAAAACAGAGCCGTGTCACCATTCACCTCGCGGACTACCTGCAATGAGTGGCAAACACAAACAGAAACATTGTTTCAACATTGTTACAGAAACAAGTAATTCGGAATGTTTGAGAAGTAATGGCCATTTGTCTTCATGAATAAAAATATTAGAATCCATAAAGCATAATATTTATGACCCCTGAAACACTGAGAATGTCTCGATATGAAGAAACTTTGAATGCACATAATTGCAGGGAGCGAAAGAACACGGGTGACTCCCGGAATCTCCGACATTGCAATCATTCTCCCTGGTTCTTTTTGCTCTCACTTCATTAGTTTTTGCTCTCCAGTTAAAACAATATACCTAGTGCGAAACAAACTTTTTTGGGGTGTCACTATCTCTTTAAATATGAAGGCTGTGTCTGTTGTGTAGAGATCCATTCTTCTCACCTCTCACTCTTGACAAAATTGTGTGGCATTCAATGCTCATGAGCCCTGAATGAAACTATGAAAGAGTGTCATTACCTCGTGAGAGAAGAGGCTGGTCTGTTGAAATAAGCGTGCTTTGTTCTGCATCAGTGACATTTGTTTCTAGTCTTGCTTCATAATATTCTTTTCATTAGGCAGGACTTGCCTTTGTAGTGTCTTTTAATTAATGTAATCTAGGCCTACAGGACAGCAAGTAATTGTAAATAAGAATTGTGGCATTATAGCAAATTATAAAGGCAACTATCTCCTTCAATTCTGAAAGCGATTTTCCATAAAAGCAAGGATATGTGACGAAGGAAAATAATATGCAGATCATACAGTAGGAAACATTATTTTGAAGTGTAATCGACCTTACAAAGAGTTGAACTGGTTGTAGATCTTTCCCTAAATAGACATGTCATGTTATGATTTAGTTAAGACCACGGGTATTCTGTGCTCATAAGTCTGGCAAAGATTAAATATATATATATATATATATATATATATATATATATATAATTGTAGTTGTAAGTGCTTTCATCCGTTTCAGTGTTTTATTCTTTCTGTGTGAAGTATGGTTTACAGACGCACTCTGCTACATGTACTTGTAATTGTAGATGTGGAATCTCAACCCTAGATATTCTCAGAATGGTGCTGTATCATTGTATCATGTAAAAGAATCCAGTTCAAGTAAAATCAGACAATGAAGCAGCTGTGCACTGCAGGCATTAAGATTCTCGGGTAACTACGTAACTTGTATGAAGCTCAGCTGCCAGTGTTAATTTTATAGCTAATAACTATTGGCCACAAGTGTCCAACCCACCACCAAAAATAGGAGGATCCAAAAGTGTGCCAGCTCCGTTCAACCAGTGAGCGCATTCACAGAATGCCCGAGAATGTGACACTAATTACTCCTCTCTTGATTTATAGCCATCACAAAAAGTGGGACAGAAAGAAGGAGGAGTTCGATATAATTTTCCCTGTCAGCTTCGGCTGGAGCAGCGGAGAGCCCGGACCACCCTAGAGCCAAGATTCGCAGAATTAGTAAATAAAAGTACGCAAGTGTGCAGAGAATTCCGCGCGGGTCTCCGTCTCAATGCACTTCGTCGGACATTTATTTATCCGGGACGTTTCTTGTACTTGTAATCTTTTTTTTTTTTGCAATTTTACGTGACCTGACACATACGGATGCGAGTAAGTCCGGCGAAAACAAACTCGGTGCTTCTCTCTCCCCTCTCCAATCCACCGTAAGATAAGCACCAATAACAAGCGTAATTGGGAAAAAAAAATTAAAAAAAAAAAAAAGAAACGAAATAGATAAGGCACAAAACAAAACGGTAACAGGACGTAAGGGAAAACAAGTTCGCGGCGCGAGAGCACATCACCGTTTCGTTTGCAATGAAAAGCCGCAAAAGAAAGCGGTGGGGAGGTCGACGAGGGCCCCCCGGCATCGGGAAACCCAAAAAAGAAGATCGGCCCCTTCATTTTTTTTTTATTATTTTATTTTGTGGCCCCGGTTTTTCTCCTCGAAAACGGGAGGCCCACAAGGTAGAAAGTACGCGGGGCCTTCAGAATTTGGAAACAATATTTTTTCGAGCGCCCTTCGCCTTTTTTTTTTTTTTTTAAACTACCCAACCTGTGCCAACTGCGTAAGCAAATATATGACGCGAGCCAGATAAAAGGCAGCGCGGGCCAGTATTTTCCAGAGCTCGTTCACTTCTGTCCCCAGCGTGTGTCCCCCTCCTCGCAGGCCGAGTCGACGCTGGTTTCCTTCAGCAGGTCGCGCAGGGACGATCGAGGCGAGTCCCTGTACCAGGACGCGAAGACGTGTCCCGTCGTCTCCCTCGGTGGCCGTGATCTGGCACTCTCGCGTGTAAGAAGGCAGCGTCAGTGTAGCCTCGAGTGTGGCCCTGGACGGTTTGGGGGACCTTGTCCGAGGCGTCGGCGCATCCTCAGCGTGGACGTCGCCAGTTTCTTCTCGAAGGCGCCTCGGGTGTGGAACGGACCTGTGGTGACGTGGACGCGCGTCCACCGCAGACGTCGGCGGTTTCCTCGACGCGTCTCTTCCCCTCGGAGGCAGGATCTGAGACGCGGCGTCGGTGCCGTTGCCCGCAGGCGCTGTCCTCCATCTCTTTTCTGTTTTTCTGCGGCGCCGAGGAGGAGGCCAGGTAACGGAGGGGGCCCTCGAGGCGCTAGGTCGACGTCCGCGAGTGACCTTGGCAGGAACAAAACGGAATGCGGGGCTGCCGTTGCCGCCGGGGGCGTCCCGGAAGCGGCGAGCGGGCCAGGCGTCGCCGCGGCTGGACACTTGCTCCGAATACCGGGCCGGCTTCTTCTCGGGCTCGGCCCGACCTTCGCCTTGCCATCGCCCGCCCAGCGAAGATGACACCGAGGGACGCTTTCGCCTTTCGCTCGCCTCTCCCTCGGCTCGTCTTCGGCAGGCCGACAACTCGGCGCCAATTTCGGGACAAATATAGAACGGAATACTGGACCAGGATCTTCCCGTTTCGTTCTGGGCCAGCATCAGAGGAATTGGTTTCTTCGCCTCTGCGAAAGAGAGGGCGCTGGTACGCGCGCTGAAGAGACCGCGAAGAACGCCAGGACTTTCGACCATAGGTCGAACACGCAAGAAACATCCCGAGACGCGCGTGGGCCGCCACCTTGCTTTTCTTTGCCCCAAAAGCTGCTTCGTTTCTCCTACATCTCTTGTAACTACAGCCACCAAACAACCTCGGTACTCCACTGTCCGATTATACTTTTTGGGCGCCGTCATTTCGGTGCTCAGTCAGAAGATAGGGTGTCGGGAGGCTCAGGCGTAAAGCGTGAAACGCTTGTGAGCACGAATCGCGTCGCCAAGCGGCGTAATCACAAAAATCGCCGTGCCGTCCCGTGAAAGCGTCAGCGACGGTTGCTATGGTTACGCTGCTTAGCGACGCTATGCGACACGACTTTTGCTCACATGTGTTTCAGGCTTTATCGTTCCGTTCTGTCGCGGGCTGCTTTTAACATTCCTGAAGGACGGAAAAGCATTTTCCGCGATTTCGGATAAAGCTTCAGATAACTGTCGACAACTATTTTAAAGGGGCGGTGCAACGATTTTCAAACTTTGGCCAATAAAGTGCGGAAATTAATCTGTGTAACCCAGGGAACAAAAAACAGAAAACTGTATTTTCTTGCAAGCACTAGTTTTTATGTAAAAAACAACAACAACAACAAAACAATTGAAGGTTAAAGTGTGTCTCAACTCTCCACGTCGCCTTTCGAGTGACGTACTCTGGGGGATCACGTGGTTTCCCCTTGGGTTATCTCTTCAGAGACCCTAGCCGCATCCTCCGCGATTATCAACTTTTAAAGGATTAGCATCGTCGAAGGTCGTGGCGAGCGATCGACACAAAAGATGGTTCGCCACGGGGCTGACGGCGAGTGTAGCAGCGGAGGGGGACAGGTTTTGTTCACTTCCGCGTATCCCCCAGAGTACGTCACACATCAGTTCCGTTAACCACCACACGATTATTCCGGTGCGATTACGCACCGGAATAGCAGTTCTTCGGGGCAAGGTGACGCGTTTTTGGTCACTTGGCTTGGATAAATATAAAAAAATACAAATTGCCACTTCAAAACCAAAATTGTTGCATTACCCCTCTAAGTACCAAGATGGCTGCAATGCCGTTACTCTGAAGAGGTCAGCGTTGCTTCCACAGTGCTGCAAACTGCTGCGACAGCACGTGCACATGACATTTTCTAGCATTGTCGTGCACTCGTGGCTTTGACAGCGTAGGAGCACTGCGGAAGCTGCCCTACCCTTCACGACTTGGCACAGAATAGTTGACGCCGAGTACGTCTACACCGATACCGTAACTCCCTCACAAGGCAGCCAGATGGCAGCGACGGTGAGTGCTAACCAGCTGCTAACTCGCACAACGACCCCGGGAAGAGTCAGTGCTGCTCTGCACCGGAAACATGACCGTGAGTCGCACGGGGTGCTCTTGTATGCCCCTACAATCGTTTTCACACCGCCCGCGCCCCCCCCCCCCCCCCCCCCCCGGCCCGCCCGCCCGCCCGCCCGCCCGCCCCCCCCCCCCCCCCCCCCCCCGAGAAAAAAAAAAAGAAAAAGTTTGACGTGTTGCTTATACGTAGGGTGTGTATTTTCCGGTTTTAACCGAAAAACATCGATAAACATCTGTCGGTGACGAAATTACAAAATCGGTTAAAACCGAAAAAACACCGGTGGTTGGATATTTTCGCCCTGGTTAAGCCCGAAAAACACCGGTCGTTGCACGTTTCCCACCTAGCGAAACCCTTTCCCCCTAGAGGTTCGTCAAACATGTTATCTCGTGGATCCTGCATTCTTCAAGTGTCTATACATGGTTTGCACGTGGCGTCAGTCCGCCCTCCTTTCCGTGGGTCAAAAGCGTCTAGTTAACGCAGTGGAAGCTAAGCTCTCACACGCCTTTCCCCCATTGTGTCGCCCATGGCCCCCTTTTGTGGAAAAATTAACGCAGTGGAGGGTACGTTCTCACGTGCCCTTTCCCCATTGTGTCT